TATATATATATATATATATATATATAGAGAGAGAGAGAGAGAGATTAATTATAGAAAATGCAATGCAAACTAACTGGAAGTTAAATTTTGACAGTTTTTATTCTTATATAAAGCAAATATAATTGTTTCCACCAAATTTATGATTATCAGTATTCATAATGTCCTTTCAAAATGTATGAGATATCTGTGAATTTATACAGGGCACTAGTTTTTGCATGGCCCTCAAATTAAATTTGAAATGAAGTACTGCAATTATTAATCTTTATTGCACAGATGTAAAATAGTAATTAGTTCATATCATTGCATGACATCAACTTAAAGAATAATTGTAGTTATACAGTATTGTACAAAATTGTACTTTCCATTGAAAGAAGGTAAATTAAACATAATAGTTATTTAAAATAAATTTGTACTTTGATTTCCATTTACCAGTAAAAATTGTTTTGATATATGAAAATAGGAAAAGGCTGCATTGTATGATACAAAGTTTACAGTAATTTCAAGTTATCTAGAGCTTGTGATACTTCATGTGATCTAGAAATAATTTAATGATCAACAAAATGCTTTTGGCTTACAATGGAGTTTTTTTAAATTAATTTTAAATTTAAAGAGCTTCTTTCAGAGGATGTGATAGCTACAGGTATGATTGGAAGTATCAATAAGAACACATGTACATTAAAAAAAATAGAACTTATCAATGCTGTACTGAAAATAGTTCCCGAAGAAAGGGTTAAATTAATGAAGTTTTGATTTTTTTTCAGTCAACTTGAACAACCCCCTACTTTCAAAGATCATATTAATCAACCACAAAAAAATGACAATCCAAAAACCGTTCCTAAAGAGCACTGCAATGTAGAACAGCCAGAATCTGTAAAATATGACAAAAATAAAGCTAACAGCATTATTTTAAATGGCACAGAAGTCCCTAAGAGTTCAGGAGGGAGGATGAATGAACATGATAAACGTACTCAAAAGGATGAGATGCTTACTAATGGGTAAGTTAATATTTTGTTAAATACATAATATTTCTAACCATTGGGCATTTATTTTAGTGTAATTGTTTTGCCTACTCATCTTACCATCCAAGTCATTCAAAACAAAGTGTAAAACACCATATAAATGTCTTGCAAAATATTTTACAGAACACCCACTGACTGCAAATTCAACTACCTATTCTAATACGCACAAGTTGTGTATCTTTTTTTCAATGTACATTACTAGTTCATTTAAATAAAAAAACGTGTTAGCACACTGTGTGTGATTGTGCATAAGAATAATGTACAGAAGGAGTTACAAAGTGGGTAGAAGTCAAAATGTAATGTGGGATAAAAAAATTTTGAGCAAAGTACAGGACACCACATGCTGTCAGCAGTATTTGTTGCAATTTTTTTTAACTTAAAAGGTACGTGTATCCTGATCAAGTAAACTATATAGTAGGCAACAAGGTTGTGTCATACATTGTATATGTATTACATTTCCTGAGTCATTAGCTACTTTAAATGTTCACTTTCAGATTATTCATTTCAGATTATTTTTATATTTCAGACATTTTTGGAACCTTTATCGTTATATTTTATATTAATTTCTAGTTTAAGAAATTTTTTGCAAAATATGCACTGCACAAGTACTTAAGCAATGAAACAAGTTTCACTCCAAGCAAAATATTCTGTGTTTCAACAGTATTGACTTTTTTAACTTTGTTAGTGACATTATTCTGTTACTATGTACCTATAATAAGCAAAACTAAGTACCTTACCAAGGTTTCATCTGTATGTGCTCTTACATATCACAGGATAATCACCTAGTGATGAATCCGTTGTATTTTTTAGGAACATTATTCTATTAATATGTATCTATAATAAGCAATACTAAATACCTTCCAAAGTTTTATTAGCATGGGTTCTTTCACGTGACCAGATAGTCACCTAGTGATGAATCGTAAGTATTTGTTAGCAGTATTATTCTATTAATATGTACCTATAATGAGCAATACTAAGTACCTTCCAAGGTTTTATAAGTATGTATTCCTTCAAGAAGCAGATTTTTAAATAATAGTTGATCATTTGTTGATGTGATCTAATTCTTCAAAATGAAACAAGTTTCTTACTTTAGAGACTGGTGTTAAGACAAAAAGATTTGTTTTACTGATTTACCCTGCTTTAGAAAATTAATTTACTTTTTCTTAACAAACATGCACTGAGAATGCTTTGCCTGATGTGGTGAAATTGTTAAAAAAGGTTTATTAGTATCGGTGAACTGTAGATTATTAGGGTGACTAACATGTTCAATATTTCATAAGTAATACTATCAATACATCTGTTGTTAATTTCATTAAATTTTAATAAGTGGTTAAGAGTAATTACTTTTTCATGTAGTTAAATACAGCTTCTTACAGCCTTGAAGCTGCCTATAAACCTTTAAAGTTTTAGTTTTCTACTCAGATACTGACCTTGGTCCTTGTTTTTTACTCAATACATTTTTAATTTATTTTTAAATATTAGAGTCAGAAAACAAACAGAAAAACTAGAAAAATTATAGGAATTTTATTTATATACTGATGTGTAATGTGGAAAAATTATAAACATGATACAATCATTAAGTCAGAACATGAGCAAGTCGTCAGAAATGTACATGTTGTGTATATTGGCAATTGTTTGGAAATTGTAATTGCTAGCCAAGCATTACATAGGTAATGTGTCACTTGTACAGCTTATAGAAGGTTATTCCATTGGTGGAGTTGTAGATAGATAATGTGTCTTGTTCATACAACTTAGAGATATATCCACCAGTTTTATATAGATAATGTCACATATGCAGCTTACAGAAGGTTATTCCATCAGTTGATATGATGTCACACTATAGGACTGCACATTGGCAAATGTGCCGTGGGACTCCACAATTAGAAGAAGAGCATGCATGTGGTTTGGCCAGTGTTAAACTTCTATAGCATGCAAATAAATAAATTTAAGTTTTAACTCCAAAAGTAGTTTGTAAAGTAAAGTTAAAGTTGAAACTAATAATGCTTAATTATATGTAGATGTAGGTACAATAATCCAGTGTGTATATAACCTAATGTCTGCCTGTTCTGCTCTGTATCTACTGAATATATATTTCAAAATGCTACTCTTCAAGAGTACATTATAGAAACATTATTCATTATTTGCAATTCGTAAAATTCCATATTTATATGAACATCAATCCATGAGTCTTCACATCTGCTAAATGTTCAACCTGAGAAAAAAACTTCTTAAGAACGGAAATGTTTCTTTTTGCGAGGGAATCTCATGAAAAAACAGGATTGACTTCTTCCATTGACTGATTGAAAGAAATATTTCAAAGATGGAATCATGAATGGGGAAAAAATGCATAAAGAGTGGAATGTGTTTGAGTATGTATTTATTGTTGTTCTTTTTATGAACATATTTTTTGCTTTCATATCTGTATTATATACATGCATGATTTTATTGTACCATGACAAATAAATTGATTTAAGTTAAATATCTCACCTTTGACACCTATAGAAGTGATAACTGTCAAACACCAATCACTTTGGTAGCATTTTTTCCTGGCATTCAGTAAAATGACAAGGAATGGTGGCAATCAGCAGAAAAAATTCTCCACAGCCATGTAGCAAACCTCAGTGTTCTCATGTTGGATGAACCAATTGCATTGAAAACTGAACATTTTTGTCAACAGTGTATTGAAGTCAGTTTCCTTTGCTTAAAAACAAATGCAATGCAATTTTCCTTACTGAAATAATACATGAAATGATAAAATATGGTTGTAAACGGCCTACTAGACAATCATATTGCATATAAACTATAATACAAGGCAATGGGTTGACTGCACATTGGTTATTTATTCATCACTATTTTTAGAAAACTTACCTTTGAATTGTTTCAATGGCCATTTGCTAGTACCACATAAAATAATGTAAAAACCTATAATGATTAACTTTCCTTAATTGATGTGTTTAGTACTTCTAGTTGTTTTCTTGGTTGATCAAGTAAGCTTAAATCATTATACCTGTAGTTAATGCTAATTAAAATTTAGCTTTGATCTTTACGCAATTGTAATAATGAAAACACTAGTTATTTATTTATATATCTTTCAGTATAGATGTAAATGAACATGTGTTTTGTTAGGCATAGAATGTTAGGAATGTATTTCTTTAGGGTTGTATAATACATAAGTTGTCAGTAGCACAAACTTTATTACATATGGAAAAGTGATATGGTTTAGTTAAAGAGAAAGAAAATGAAATTCCTAGTTCATTTGTAGTTTTGTTTGTGGAAATAAAGATAAATAGAAATTTTTTTTCTCCTAATTAAAAGATTAATTTCCAATCCCTGACATTAGGTAACAAAATTTGTAACTGCACTCTAAGAATTAAACCGTATGTAACTCTGGTTTTTTTAGGGCAGAGAATGTCACCCAAGCCTATGTTTTTAAATGTGCAAGTTGGTTTAGTATACAAATGTAGATTTTCTTTATGTTCTTTCATTCTAAGTTTCATATTTTAACTAAATTGTAAAAATAATAAAACTTCTATAAAGTTGTTGTTTCATAGGTATTGAAGTAAAGCTGTGTTCTGCAAAACCTGTCAAATTTATATCTTAAGTAAACAGAAAGTAACATTTTATTACAAACACATTGATAAATTTTAGTACTACAAGTTTTTATAGCACTTGTGGGAAAAAATAAAAGTCAAAGATTAACAGATTTACTTTTGGGTGTTTTTGTTTTTTTTCTTGTCAGATCTGACCAGTCAATCCATGGGAAGAGGTCTTCATCATCCTTTAATCATATTTGTATTAAATGTACAATATTAAACATCTTTAAGGTGGTTATTGTGTAAATTCTGATGTGGTCATTCACCTCCATACACAGAAAGCTATTTTTCTTTTGAAGTAGTTGTATTCTGCCTTAGAGACTTGCATGCACGGCCTTGTGAAACTCCTACTTAAAATTCATAAGAACATGTGAATTTTTTATTACTGTGTGATGATGTATCATACAGCAAAACCCTCCATCAACAGGAGTGTGCAAATGCTCTCTCTACATTCATGTGCAAAATTCCTCATTATTTTCCTTGGCATAGTCCTTCTAAGATATGTTTATTTTTGTGGAAACTTGTTGAAGTAAATGCTTCAACAACTTTTATTTTGTATTTTCAACTTTTCAATATGAATTTTCAGGTTAACATGAATTCCTTATCTGCTGATGTGAGTGCAGAAGTCACTCATAGCTACAAACAACTTAGAAAGTTCTTTCCTGTTGAGATCAGGACAGCCATCATGTATTTTGAAAGGTGCAGCTCAGGTTGAAAAATACAGCAAGAAGAAGAGTAACATTGTCTAATGTTTGGTGGGATCCATGTTGCCTCCTGGACAATCTTCTGTCTCTGTCATGCATTTATTTCCCTTCTCAGATTTGGAAGCTGAAGTTGAGAGGGATGAAATGTAACAACTTTTACATCCAATACTTCTCTACCTACTGAATATCTCCTGATTTGTTCTGTGCTTTACGTATGCCTTCCAACTTTGTTTCCTTTCTTCTCCCTGTTAGTGCTGCATCCAGCATTTACTTTGGGTTTTAGTTTTTTTCTACTGTTTCATGCCTTGTCCTACCTTCCTTACCAGGTAACACATAGAAGTTATTGTTTAGGTATAGTTTATTCTCCAATAACATCTTACTTGTAGGACTTAATGTTTAGTTATCATTTATTACTCCTTAACATGTCCTCATATGATATATAATTTAGAACTACCATTCAATCAGTTTGTTACTCCTTAACTTGTATTACTTAGAGTATAATGTTTAATCATAGTTACTCCTTGACTAATACCACTTAGGATATTATGTTTGATCACAGTTCGTCTCTCCTTTACATGTATGCATAGACATTGATGGTTGATCATATTTCCTTATTCCTTACCATGTGAACGTAGATGTTAATGTTTATTTACAGTTCATTGCTCTTTCACATGGCACA